TATATATATATATTCTAAAAAATTCTTCCAGCTTTTCAAGTGTGAAAATGTGCTGGTTTTATTAGTCTTCTAAGAGAGTAAATTGATTGTCTTTTGGTTTTGATCTGTTGGTTGGACAAGAATTGTGCACCAGGGTTGTGATAGGTATTTTTCACTGTATCTGGTTCTCTATAGACCAAGTGATGACTTGACAAAAAAGTTATTTGTCAGATTAATCAATAATGAAAATGATTGTAATTTGCAGCCATGTGTGTTTCAATACACCATGTAAAAAATTTGAAGAAGCCTGTATATTATGGGCATAACTTCATCTGTTTAACAGTATTGTGGCATTATCTTAAACTCATTGCTCAGTAGTGTTGTTTCTTGTCCATAGGTATGTAAAGCTAAGTGAGTTGTGTTTATCCACTATCGTAACCATAGATATTTCTGTTGAATTGAATTTTGGCCGAGCTGTGACGTATGTGAGTGCCCGCGCTGAAATGTGCATCACAACATTTGGTTGCCAGTTGTTTCTCACCTTTGTTTGTATGATGTGGTAAAGGTCATGTCATGTCTGCGGTTTGTTTCTGAAGCTTTGTGCAGGTGTGAAGAGGGCAACCCACTCAAAAGTGGCATCTTTCTCTTGCTTGACGAGTCTTCTTGCTCAGATGATCTCTTTCGAACTATCCCTTTTATCATTTTTGGCATGGTGTCTAAAAACAATATGTGCTCTCTGCTGTTATGTAATACGGCATCACAGTTCTGGGAATTGCCCTTAAAATAGAGTTGCCAGTGATATTGTATCAGCATTACTGTCTGAGTGCTCTCTTCCTCTAAACCCACCACCTCTCCTTTTGCTCCTTCTCTTTACTACTCCCACATTAAGTTTTTCTCCCTCTGCTTGCCCCCTTTCCTCTGCTCTCCTCCTTTCCTGTCCTCCCCACCCCCTCCTCACTCAGTGATTGTCGATTCCCACTCTCCCTTTCCCCCCCTCTCTTGCTCTCAGTTGTGGATTTGGTGCATCCATAGAGCCAAGGCAGGGCTTTAAAGAAAAGCTGTGCCCAAAACAGCAGATTTTTTTTTTTTTTTTTTTTTTGCCTGTCTACCTTTCTTACTTGGAGCATCTGTTAGGGGTCCAGCATTTTTCTCCCCAGCTGTACAGACCATGCCCTCCATCCACTGAGCTGAAGCTCTCATGGGATCTCTGGAGCTTTTTAAAAACACTTAAAATAGTCTGACTGGATCACTTTGCCAGCAGGTCCAAGTAGCCCATTAAATAGCATAGAAAACCTGTGCTTGACTCCTAATTAGGTCTTTGAGGCATTAATGGAGGGGATTATAGCACAGTATGTACAGATAGCATGTCGTGAGCTACAGGAAAGTAGCTTGGCAGCATGCAAATAATACCATACATCTGCTATGTTGAATTCATGTCTCAAGGCCTGTGTTGAGCACATCTCAGCTGCATGAAGCCACTCTAAGGCACTTATTAAATTCCTTGTGAGGGATTTTATTGACAGTTACCATTTGTTTAATTTGTTTCCAGCGGGGGGGGGAAAGGGCATTCATATTTGTGTATGCGTCTGTCATTATGCAGTTGACCCCGGCTACTTGTTCTGCATTCCAACAGTTTTTTAATACTAGCAGGTCTGTGTGCGTGATTTTACATGTGCACATACTTGGGTGTATAGTCATAAGCAAAGTTGAAAGAGACAGCCAATTAGAAATGTTTAGCTTTTCTATTTTTGGTACAGTGGCACAGGAAATGTAACAAAAAGGTTGCTCTTTAGTCAGCTGTTAAAGTGTGAAATCCCACAGCTCATGGCAACAAGCAGACTTCAGTTACAGGTAGGCGTTGCAGTTGAGCCTTGATGACATGGCTGCCACCTAGGGGTGGGCGATATGATGATATTATATCGTGGACAATATTAAGGACTGGACAATACACTTTTTCAACAATATCGTAGTATCGTCATATGTGCACGTTCTATCCATTGTAGTTCTATTCATTCATTCTAGATCTCGCCCTCAACATGGCGCACCGCCATGTTAACAAGCTCGTATGAGATTAAACAACACCGTCAATGACAATGGAGGAAAATGCGGAGGAGTTGGTGTCTAAAAAAAACTCGACATCAGTGATATGTAAGTGGTTTGGTTTTTTGCCAGCAGACACAGGACAAACCACAGTTATTTGCAAGTGTTGCAGTGAGCAGATTCGTGCGTCGGATGGCAACATAACTAACCTTTTTTTCCACCTCAAAAGAAAGAATCCGAAAGAATATGCTGACTGTCACGGTATGAAGGGACTGCACGCGAGTAGATCAGCAGGTACAACCAAGCAGCCAGAAGCAATGCTTAAACAACCAAC